TGCCTCTTTTTTTGTTTTTTTGCGGTAACCATGAATGGTGGTCGAGTAGATCATGTTGTGCGGGGTCGAGAACCCTCAATTCGCGCAAAGGGGATAGTCGCACGTTGTGTTAAATTGGTCAAGCACCCTCGAGGCAGTTACACAGTGCTTACAACTGTCTCTGGAAGCGAAAGCACCAGAAAATAAATCAAGTCATACGCAGCTGTCATTCGTACTCAAAGAAGTAAGCACAAGAAGCCGAACACCCTTAGCAGGATGCAGCGCACCCTCATGCGACTCGCCGAATACCTCACGGCGCTTCGTGCTTGGTGATGTGAGAGCCTGGTCCGGTGAGAACCCGGCGTGTGCTCCGTCCCGGCTTTGTAGGGATGCGAGGTCAATGGTCTAACGACTACGGCATGCACGACATGAGCACACACACACACACACGCACACACCACCCCCCCGCGTCGTCAATGAAACGACATGGCGACATCATCAGGTTTCACCACGTCCGCGTCGCGCGAACGAGCTTGCTTGGGGGCGTCGCGGTGGTGTCGCCGGAGGGGAAGTATTCCAGGGTCCCTGGGGGGCAGAAGCAGTCGTACGGCTCCATGCTCGCCGTCCGCGCGAACATCGTCATCAACGCCTCGAGATCTCTTGCTCGAGCGCTCTCAAGTGCGTAGTTGGGGGGGGGGGCTTGCTCGTACGATGATGATGGTTGGCTCGTTGTGGACGTTACAGGTTTTGACGGCCGTATGACTGAAGATATCGACCCCACTCTCTCTCGTAGCCGGGCCGGTGAAAACCCGGTGTACATATCGCTCCGTCCCGACGTTGTCGTAGGTTGTAGGGATGCAGGGTCAATGCTCTGACGACTACGGCATGCGTTTACATGAGCACACACACACGTAATGGCATTTAGAAGCGTTTTGTGTTTTCAACCGCTCTGAGACTGACGTCTTTTCATTGGTCAGCCGGTTAACGCGGTCGATGCTACTATTAAAGACACATACACACAGCCGTCTTCGTGTTCCTCCGTTGTGCCCCCGTCCGTTGTCTGTCCCCGGTGGTATCGTTCTGAAAAAACCAGTCGCCTTTCGCTTCGGTGCCGTGAGGACACAGGGTTACGACGAGAGAGAGGGCGCGTCGCCGGGGTCGGAGAGACAGGTAAACACGCACAGGCGTGTTTTTTATTGGGGTGATTGGCCGAGAAAAACTTTTTTTTATATTTTCATGTGCGTGTGTGTGTGTGTGTGTTTTTTTTTTTTTCTTATAATAGTAGTATCGACCGCGCTAACCGACTGACCAATGAAAAGACGTCAGTTTCAGTGCGGTTGAATACACAAAATGCTTGTAAAGGCCACGATCTGGGACCTTGTGAGGGAGCATCATGGGGGAGTCTACGCTACTCTCCGGATTAAAGACAGATTCCTTGGCAATAACAGAAGAAAACCGCACGTTTTTACCATGGCCGGTACTACTTGGACGCACGTTCGTTTCGGTTTGCTTTCTTCATCGTCTTCCCGGCATTTGGTGTGTGTGTGTTTTTGTTGTTCGTATCATACGTGTGCGTCATCGCGGCACCGTTTGGCAGCATCGTCTCCCATGCCGTATACGTGCTTGAGTTTCTCTCTCTCTCTCTCTCTCTCTCTCTCTCTGCCGCAAACCCAAACACCCGTCGGTTTTGTATTTTCTTGCTCGTGCTTTGTGACGCCACCGGGTACCGTCCACCCAACCATACGCGTCCGTGACGCCTTCACCAGGTGTTGGACTACCCCACCCAACAGCGGGTCCTCTTGCCACTCCTGGCTCACGCCTACGCGCTCCACTTCGCCGGACAGCACATGAAGTCCGCCTACCACTACTACCTCGACACCCAAGACGCGGAAGCCCTTCCGGACTTGCACGCCACAAGCGCTGGGCTTAAGTCTCTCGTAACGCAGGTGGGCGAAAAAAGCGGGTCGTCGTACTCCCCCACCCTGAGCGTCACTACCTCCTTTTTGTGCTCCCGGCCTCGTTAACCGCGTCTCTGTGTTTCCACCCACTGCTGTCCCTTCCTTTGTCTATTTGTTTCCGCTTAAATTACTGCTGCCCCTTTCTATGTCTTTGGTTGGTTCGCTCTGCGTCTATCTGTGTCCTCCTTCACCTCTCACTTCCCCCCACCGTATGACCGTATCCTCTACCGTTTACGAGCATGCTCCCCTCCCCTTGTGTCCCGTCTTTTTGTCTCCCTGATCATGTACTATTCTGTTCGACGATACAAGGGCCATTCGGATACAAGCGCGAATAACATTGTTGCCTATATTACCGAACAAGGTATACCGTTTGAATTGACTAAGATGTAAAGCCACACCCACACCCCGTAAGCCTCTCCTCTCTCCCGGTCCAAAAGTGGTACGGGTCGTGGGACGAAACGCCCTTCCTAACCGTACGCGTTGTTCCGTCCCATGTTAGAGTGTAGCGGACGGCATCGAAGCGGCCCGCAAGATGTGCGGGGGGCACGGCTACTCCCAGTTCAGCGGCCTGCCCGACCTTTCCTCGGGGTACCTTGCGCTCGCGACGCTGGAGGGCACCCAGCAGGTTCTGGAGCCTCAGACGGCCAGGTAAACGAGATTTTTTTTGTGTGCACGCTGGTCGGCACGACCTTGCTGAGTTGCAAGCGTGTTTGCCGTGCCTGATTGCTTGCTGAACCTTGCGTGGTATGCACGAATCGAATCCCGATCAGGGTACACACACGTCGAGCGTCATTGCCCACCTCTGTTGTGTTTTCCGAAGAAGATGCTTCACGACCACTTTGTTCCCCTGTTTTTCCAAGACGATTGCCTCTTTACGACGACGCCCTTCCCCCCCCCCCAGGCATCTGCTGCGCTCCCTCGCCGCGGCCCGCAAGGGCAAGCGCTTGAGCGAGGCGTTCTCGTACCTCTCCCCGTCTTCTACCCAACAAGGCGCCGCAACCACCACCACCTCGCCCGCCGTGAGCGTGAGGATAGGCGCCCAACTCAGGAGGCCGGAGACCCAGCTGCGACTGTTCCGCGGCCGCGCCCGCGCAGCGGTGTTGGCGGCGGAGGAGGCGGTGCAGCGGGGGGGGAAGGGGACTGCTGGAGCAGGAGGGGGGGCGGCGGCTGGGCGGGAGGCTATGGTAGGGGCCGCGGTCGAGCTTGGGAGGTGAGAGCCGCCGTGTGTTGTTTTTTTGGGCGAATGGCTTCGTGGGGTTAGAAGTTGGGCAGCTCGACGGTCTTGCAGTCTGACCGGAGTTGCGCGGAAGGGATGTTTGTTCTTTTTTTTTTCTTTCGGTGTGATCGTTGGTGGTGTTGGACGTTTCGTTGTAAAATGTGGTGTATTCCTTTTTTTATTGGGGGTCGGGAAACGTTTTCTGCGAGGTGCTCGGTGTCAGACCGTGCTGAGGTAGGGCTGGGCGGTGACGGCCGTCGGAAGGCAGCGAGTGTTCATGTCTCGACCTCCTTGCCCTTGTCTGTTTCGTACACTTCTGCCCATTGCGTGCCGCTATCTCTCTCCATTGTTTCGACTCCGGCGGGAGCTATTATAACATTCAAGATCGCGATGAGGGTCCTCTCCTACCGCTTGTTTCTTCCCTTTGCACATTTTGTGCTGCTTATCCTTCGCCGGTCAGGGCGACCCGCGCGCACTGCCAGCTGCACCTCGTGGAGAGGTGCATGGCGGGCGTGGAGCAGCAGCGGGAGGCGGCGGCGGCGGCGGCGGCGGCGGCGAGCGGGGAGGAGCTCAACACCCGCGAGGTCAACGTCCTGTCGTCGCTGAGGGACTTGTTCGCGCTCTCCATCGTCGAAGAGGTGCGCGCGCGCCACCGGCCTTGCAAAAATAACTGCTGCTACAGCGGTGAAGTTCTCTCGAAAAACAGTACACGCATGCACCCTTTTCGTTCGGTGCTGGTTGCTGTTCGTTACTCATAAGCTGTATGTGCGTGCGAGCCAGGTTGCGATAAACCATGCATTATCTCCTTTCCACCCGGTCTAGGGCTTTGTTCCCGCTCTTGCCCCTCTAACGACGCTGATGCCTCTGTGCGTGGAACTATATGGCTTCGTTCGCCCCCCCCCCCCCCCCCCCCCGGGGGGTGCACCCAAAAACCCCGGAAGCGTGGGCAAAGGGTTAACCCGCCGCCTTTAAGGCTGGAAAAAAAGAGTACCCCCCCCCCCCCCGGGGGGGAGGGGAAACCCGGGCCGGGGAAAAACCCGGGTAATCCCTCCC